GGCCAGATCAGAGGGGACTACAACCCCCATGAACCTCTGCAGCCGCTGGCTCTTAGGGTTAACCTAACTCCTAGCAATGGGGTTTGAAGGGAAATGTATAGGGGGAGGGGGTAGGAGCTAGACGGGGCCGACTCACCTCTCCTTCCACTCCACGTCCAGATGCTGCGCTCGGTCTTCTGCTCGGCGTTAGGGATGATTGGAGCCATCTATTGCCTCTCAGTATCCGGGACCGGGCTCCGAGATGGACCCAAGTGTCGTTTGAAGGACGGTTCTTGGGGCTCCCATTTCAAAGAGACCGAGTAAGGCTTAGCCGGTTTTCCCGCCCTCACTACCCGATTCTGTGCCGCTCCCCACGTGGGCCGGACCTGCCTTCGAGAGCGCTTCCCCCACGTGGGCCTCATGCGCCCTCTGCAAGTCCCCCTTGGCGCGTGCTCAGGACGGGGAACCGGGAGGGGGGCCTCCGCGGCGACCTCCGTCTCTCACGTGACCTTTTCGGATCCACAGAGGCTCTTACTTGCTCAACCACACCATGTGGGATCTATGCGAGGAGCCGCCTAATGTGGTCACCTGGCACGTGACGCTCTTCTCGCTGCTCCTGGCCGCCTCGTGCCTGGAGCTCGTGCTGTGCGGGGTGCAGGTGGTGAACGCGGCCATGGGTGTCCTCTGCGGCGACTGCAGGAAGAAGGTGGGACCGCGCGCCCAGGAGCTTTAGAGGGAACCTGCTGGCTCCCCGGCTGCGTTCTCACGTTCTCTTTTCCGCAGGGCACCCCTGAATGAGGCTCCACTGACCATCCTGCCCGCCGCTGGACGCCCACCCGACCCACCCCCGCCCTGAAATAAACCGTTTTGAGCTCTCTTGCGCATCTCAGATCGTGCCCTATGTGAGGAGTGTCCAAGGCGGGGCTTGTGGCTCCTCTGTGTGGGGCCCCTGCACCCCGCTGATTTTCTTAGCAAATAGTTATTTTTTAAGCCTGAGTTTAAATTTTTTATTTATCATTTTTCATTGATTTGAGAGAGAGGGAGGGGAAGAGAAAGAGAAACATGGATGCCAGAGAGAAACATCAGTTGGTTGCCTCACCCACGCACCCCAGCCAGGATCCATCTGCAATCTGGGTATGTGCCCCAGCCGGGAAGGAACCATCTCCTAGTGCACCCACCAGGCTCCCACCAGCTGAGCCAGGAGGGCCAGGGCAGCAAATAGTTATTGAGCTATTAGTGTGCACCGGAAATACCGAAGTTAACAAGACAGACAAGTTCTGTGCTCACAACTTAACATTCCAGGATGTGAGGGTGATCTGGCTGCGACATTTGTCACCCCATTGATCGCCAGGGTTGATTCGGCTGATCTGGCTGGCTGGGCGGGTGTCCCCCTCCTCCCTCACCAATCCATGTGCGTCCCCCCAGAGGGGAGGACCGATCTTCGGTAAGGGTATACGAGTAGCTGCGCTCCCCTGCTAGAACCTCCAAACAAGCTCTCAATTTAACATTCCAGGGTGGAAAATTGGCAGTTTTTAAAAGATCAGCTGATGATAAGCACTTTTACAAAACTCGTTGAGACCTGGCCAGTGTGGCTCAGTTGGTTGGAACGTAGTCCTGTACACCCAAAGGTTGCCTGCTCTTTGGATTCTGGGTCAGGGCACATACCTAGGTTACAGGCTCAATCCTGGTGGGGACTCATACTAGAGGCAGGTAACCAACTCTCTCTCTCTCTCTCCCCTACCATTTCAAAGAGACCGAGTAAGGCTTAGCCGGTATTTTCGCCTTCACTACCCCATTCTGTGCCTCTCCCCATGTGGGTCAGACCTGCCTTCGAGAGTGCTACCTCCACACGGGCCTAATGAGCCCTTTGCAAGTCCCCCTTGGCACATGCTCAGGACGGGGAACCCTTTCTCTAAAATCAGTAAAACATATCCTCAGGTAAAGATTAAAAAATAACAACACGTTGATAATGGGATAGATATAAACTCTGAGGAAGTGAAATTAGAGCTGAAGTCTGCTTGTGGGCTAACCACCTGGATGCTGAGGGATTCCAGGCAGAGAGAACATCGAGGACAAAGATCCAAAATGGGAATCAGTATACAGAAAAGCCACCCTTGGAGTTGTGTAGAGGGGAGGGGGGGAGGGGAAGGGACAACTATGGAAAAGACACGTTAACCAATTAAGCTCTAGAAAATGATGCCCGAAGGTGTGGTAACATGTCGCCTCCTAATTTGGTAGAAGTTTCTTAATCTGAGGTCACTGGTGGCTCAGAAAATAAATAACCTGGGCATTTAATGGACATGATGTGCATGCAGACGCCCTCAGAAAGCCAGGGACTTCCTTCACTTGTATGCAAAATGGAAGTGACTAAGGGTCTGTAACTTTGGGCAGCCTGCCATGGACTCCCGAGCCAAACCTGAATTTCAGCCTGGCCCAGTGCTAGGCTAGGAGACAGGGAGACGCAGTTTGCTATGCCTAAAACAAATGACACCAAAGCCATGACGGGGAAGCTTTAATACGGGAGGTGGGACAGCCGGAGGTGGGGCCGGGAGGGGACCGCAAAGGGATCAGCTGCTGCAGCAGAAAAAACGCACGTCGTTCACCGCGGTGTCGTCGGGGAGGCCTCTGGGCCGCTGGATCTTGGTCTGCAAACCACATATGCCTTTAGGACACGTCTCGCTCCAGCTTCCAAAGTCTCCCCAGGCCAGGCCAGGCCCCTCCAGCTCCTTGCCGTCGGAGCAGCGGAAGCGCACGTTGTTGGCGCCCGTGTTGTCCCCAAGGGTCGTGGGTGCCTCCACTCGGAGTGAGAAAGCCACGAGGAAGCTGCCATGGGGACACCACAGCGGCTCGCTCCATGCGCCCCACCTGCGAGGGAAGGGAAGACTCACTGGCTGTGGGGCGCCGCCCACTCACCTCCAGCCCGACCCAGCCTGGGGACTTCACAAGCCAGGGGCTCCTTGGCCTTGGGGGTCGGTCTAATCACCTGACATCCACCACGGTGCACAGGGGAGGTCTACAACCTACTCCCCAGGTCTAAGGTGTGGCAGCGTTGGAGTTATCTGCCGGCTGGGAGGGGGTGGGTGTAACAGGATAAGGCGCATACCCCACCCTAGGGGATCATTGGCCCCTGCCCCTCACCTTCCAGACTCGGACTCCACTTTGTGCCCACGGGAGCAGTGCAGCCGAATCCCGTTCACTGCCGTGTCGTCTCCAGGAATGCCTTGCGGGGGCTCCACCTGGCGCCGAGAGGAGGGGTAAAGATGAATCAGACTACCAGTCACTATTTTATTTTTTTTACAAATAAGCATTGAACGCATTCTTTTTAATTTTTTATTACTAGAATTGGTTGGTATCTTTTATTTTTAAAAAAACATATTTTTATTGATTTCAGAAAGGGAGGGGGAGAGAGACAAACATCAATGATGAAAGAGAGCCTTAGCCAGTTTGGCTCAGTGGATAGAGCGTCAGCCTGGGGACTGAAGGATCCCAGGTTCGATTCTGGTCAAGGGCACATGCCTGGGTTTCGGGCTTGATCCCCAGTGGGTGGTGTGCAGGAGGCAGCCGATCCATGATTCTCTCTCATCACTGATGTTTCTATATCTCTCTACCTCTTCCTTCCTCTCTGAAATCAATAAAGAAATATATATATATTTTTAAATGATGAAAGAGAATCATTGATTGGCTGCCTCCTACACACCCCTCTACTGGGGATCCAGCCTGCAACCAGCATGTGCCCTTGACTGGAATCTAACCTGGACCCTTAAGTCCGAAGGCTAAAGCTCTATCCACTGAGCCAAGCCTTTGAGACCTAGATCTGAGCCCTCACCTTGATGGAGAATCCGATGGTGAAAAATCCGTCAGGACACATCTCGGGCCAGGCCCAGTCGCCCGCGGGGCCCCCGTTGGTCACCTCGATGACTTGGGTGTAGCTTCTGGAACCAACCGCTCTGGTGTGCCCGCAGCACATCGCCCACAGCAGCAGCAGCTTGGCTCCCACTGGCTCCATTCTGCAGCCTCTGTGAGCCAGGGCCCCTTAAGCAGGTTTATACCACCTCTGCCCCATGAGGGCTCCGATTGCGGAAGGGCCACTCGGATTAAGTGACACCAAAAACTAATCTGCTCCCGGATATGCTCCCAGCACCAGAGGAGGAGGGGCATCAGGAGCAGTCAAGTTGAAATCACCACCATCGCCTGAACTTTTACTACAGGCTATGTGGTTAGCATCTTGCAGGCGTGTTCTATTTAACCCTCACAATTTTAGGAGGTGGGAATTAGCCTTCCTATTATGTAGATTAGGGAACTGGGGCTTAGAAATGGCAAGCAACTTGCCTAAGGTCACCGTCAGCCAAGCTGGGAAACACTTCAACACTGGGAAATGGGAAGCCCGAGGCTAGGGATGGAAGTGAAGGCTCCTGAATCCCACAGGAAGGGATTGGTCAGTAGCAAACTCAGGGACCTCCCAGATTCAAGGGAGCATCAGAGTGAGAGACAGGGCAAGAATCCATGAACTGTGGGAGCTAGGAAGAGGCTTCGTAGAGATTGGGGTCCTGACTCCTTGAGAATCTGGGGTACTCTCCCTCACCCCAAGAAGAAAATATACACAGAGACAGGGACAATTCTAAGAAGTTTATGGACTGGGGGCTAAGAACAGGAGATATTGTTTCTTTGATTGCATCCTGTATCCTTTCTCTGAAAGCACCCCCTCCATGGCCACTAGGTGGACTCCTAATTTGCAAAAATCAAAACTGCGCCCCAAAAAAGTGCAAATTTGTCATCTGGGGCACTACCCTTATTTGCCTACCCCTAATACACATTTCTTTGTTTATTAACATACTAGAGGCCCAGTGCATGAAATTCATGCACTGGTAGGGTCCCTAGTGGCTGTGTGTGTGTGTGGGGGGGGGGGCTCCCTCCCTTCCCCTGGCTGGCCCTGCCCCTTGGGCAAACTCCCTATGAACTCATGAACTCCCCGTTGAGGAGACAATTTGCATACTATGCTTTTATTATATAGGATATGTATTTTGCAATAATGTACTTTGGCCCAGGTAATATTCTAAATTCTGTAAATAGAGTTACAACCAAGAAAAACAAGATTCATCAGAGCTCACATTCCAGTGGGGGAAACAAATTATTAAGTCTCTAATGGACCTTGAGCTCTATGAAGGCTCAGTTTATTTGTCACCTTGAGGCCTAATCAGGGCTTGGCATGTGGAAGTACTTAATAAAAGTTTGTTTGATAAATGATAGAGGAGCCAACCTGGAGTTGGGACAAGGACTGGGTAGGAGCTGGTGAGGGCATGGTGGATCAAGCCTGAAGTATACAATGAAGAGATCATGCATCTAGATCAAGACAAGGTCCTGTGGGGATAGGCTAGAGAATTTAGACGCGGGTGCTCCCTGGATCCCAAGTGCCCCGTGCTTGAACTTTATAGGTAAGATTTATGGAGCAATTGTGGTAAGCTTTTCCATTTACAGTGTTTACACGTACATTATCATTTAATCCTGGCCAAGTACCTATTATTATCCTCAATTTACACTGGAAGGAACTCAAGCCCAGAGTCTGTTATCTTAGGACCCACATCATTGCTCAGTGTGGGAGCTAGGAAGAGTTCTGACCCCAGCCTCCCTTCCCGATACCCAGGCTGCCTCTTCCTACAACCTGATCCTATAAGGAAGGGAAATACAGAGACGTGTCATTGCCACCGAACTTCCCAAATCCTCTTAATCTGGTTTCTCACCCCTGAGGTGCTGCCCTCTGGGGCAAAGGGCACAGGGTAAGGGGCCTTAGATTAATGATTAACCCTTGCACTTCAGTGCACCGCGGACTTCTCTTCCTTCTGGGAGGCGGAGGGATAAGGCCTGGGTAGGAGCTGGTGAGGGGTGGTGGTCCCAGTAGCGCCCATGGGGGTCGTGCTGCTTCCACAGGTCTCCAGGCGCTGGCTCCGCCATACAATTCCTCTTGCCATTTTCGCGCTGCTACTTTTTTATCTCTGTACTCGGAGCCTACGTGAGTGGCCTCTTCCCCCACCTTCTCTGGCAGGAACCCAGGAATCCAGGTCCTGGGGACCTAAGGCCCCTCTTCGAGTCCTCACCGCCCCGCCTTGTCTCTCCCCAGGCGCCCTCTCGGGCTGCGGATCGGGGGCCCAGCCCTGCGTTACTGAGGGACCTCCGCCTTCACAGGTATGCTGGGGGCAGGGCTGGGACCGGGAGCTCCAAGTAGGACCCTCAACAGGGGGAAGGTGGAGCCAGGCTGACTGACTCCCTGCTGAAGATCGGGTCCTCCTTCCTGTCCCCCCATCCTAGACAGAAGCCGAGAGCACAGCAGGAGGGACACCAGCTAGACCTTAGGTTGGCGAAGGAGGCCTAACAGGCTAGGGGTTCTGCTCCCCCAGATCCGGCAACAGTTGGGATCCCTGGAGGCCCCGGAGCGGGAAGAGCCTCGGTGTCTGGGCCCCGAGGGGATGCTGGGCCGCTTGGTGAGGCCGTTCCGCGCTAGTCTGAGCCTGGAAGGGGATGTGGAGTTGTCGCAGTACCTGGCGGGATGGAGGGAGCTCATCAAGTGAGTGGTCTCCCTCCCCTCATCCTTCCCCGCCTCCATGGCTCCACCGCCCTCTCTCTAACCAGCCCACTCTTCCCACCACCAAACACACAGATTCCTAACTCCCTTCGGCTCCATCTTCACCTTCGCCACCAGCGAAGCCTTCACCAAAGTGACAGCCCTCGAGGCTCGGGTGCACGGCCCAGATGCCGCGCACTACACATCGCTGGCGACCATGGCTGCGTGGGAGCGGAGGGCGGGACTGCTGGAGAGGCCTGGGGTCGCCCCTCCGGACTCGGCCAAGGCCTCGGGCTCACGAACGACTCTCCTGCTGCACCGTGCGCTACGCTGGT